AGCTAATTACTCATATATTTGGCCACTTAAAGTCACCCCACAGCTCACTGATGCCCTTTTATGTTTTTGGATTTTTAAAAAATCTATAGGTGTTTTAGCTGGGCATGGTGGTGTGTGCCTGTGGTTCCAGCTATTTGAAAGGCTGAGACAGAAGGATTACCTGAGCCCAGTAGGTCGAGGCTGCAGTGGTTGGGAGCGTGCTGCTGCCCTCCAGCCTAGGTAACAGAGTGAGACTCCAACTCAAAAAAAAAAAAAAAAAATCTATGGGCTTCATTTTGGATGGTTTCTGTTACTCTGCTTTCAAGTTCACTTGTCCTTTTTTTCTGCAGTATCTAATCTGCCATTAATCCTCCAGTGCATTTTTATCTGACATTGTAACTTGCATCTCTGGAAGTTCAAGTTGGATCTTTTATTATTATATTTTTTTTTTTTCTTCTGGAGTTGGAGTCTCACTCAGTCGCCCAGACTGGAGTGCAGTGGCCGCTCCCGGCCACCGCAGCCTCGACCTGTTGGGCTCCGGCGATCCTTCCGCCTCGGCCTTCCGAGTAGCTGGAACTACAGGCGTGTGCTACCATGCCCGGCTAGGATCTTTTAAATATATTCTTTACTTCACTTTTTGAACATATGGAATATGGTTATAACTTTTCATGTCTTTTGGTAGGCCTAACACCTGTGTCAGTTTCTGGGTCAATTTCAGTTGATTGTTTACTCTCATTATGGAGAAATGAGGAGTTTTCCTGCCTTTGTGTGTGCTTGGGGGTTGCCCGGATCCATTTTTAAATGGGTGCCAGATACTACAAATTTTACCGTGTTGGGGACTGGATATGTTTGCATTCTTCTACATCTTCTTGAGCTTTGTTCTGGAATGAAGTTACCTGAACATAGGTCAGTCTTTTTAGGTCCTGCTTTTACGACTTGTTCAGTGTGTCCAGAGCAGGAGGACATGGATGAGTGAGGCATTAGGATGGGTGGACGTACAAGTCCAGCCACCAACCGCAGCAGGATAAGGAGCCAGTCAAAACTTGAGCAGGGCCACAGAGCACAGCCTCAACCCCACCCCAACCTTCTCCTTCTCGGAGTGGCAGCTGCATGGGAAGGGCAGGCATAGCTGGAGTGTCCCCTGGCTGTACTTGGGAGACCCTCATGGGATATGAAGCCTCAACACAGGAAGAAACCAGGCCTCAAATACAGCTCGAAACAGCTGTCAGCAGAGAGCTGTCCAGGAAGAGAGGCCCACTTGTCATCATCTCATTCTGCCCTACCCTTGATGGTCAGGCCAGGGGCCTGGAGAAGTCGTCACATGGCTTAGTGCATCAGCTTACTCTTTTTTTGTTTTTGAGTCAGTGTCTCACTCTTGTCACCCAGGCTGGAGTGCAGTGGCATGGTAACAGCTCACTATAGCCTCAAACTCCTACAGATCCTCAAACGATCCTCCCACCTCAGCCTCCCAAGTAGCTGGGACTACAGGCATGAACCACTATGCCCAGCTAATTTTTTTTTTAGTATGATTTTTGTAGAGTCGAGGTCTTGCTATGTTGCCTAGGCTTGTCTTGACCTCCTGGGCTCAGGCAATCCTCTCACCTCAGCCCCCCAAACTACTGGGATTACAGGCATGAGCCACTGTGCCTGGTATAAACTGGGTTGCTCCCCTCGTCCTGCCTAGCTTACAAGGGTGTTCCATCCTAGGAGTAAAGAAAGTAAGTGTTACTGAGTCTCTGACCCTGGAGACCTTGGTATTCGCCACACACTAGCCTAACCAACGTGACCACAGGTCCTGCTCTCAGAGGGCTCTCGAGATATGTGGCTGGAAGTCCTGAGGAAGGGGAAAGGTGCATGTGGGCAGCCACGAGTCTATGTTCTTAAACCCATTGCTTGGCCCCCCGACTTGCTTGCAAAACGAGGCAGACCGGGCTCTGACAGAAGACTGGGTGGGTGGTCTCCCTACCGTCCAGGCTCAAAAGCCTGTGACCACTAGGAGGTCCACCTGCCTGGGACTTCCAGACTCAGGCATTTCTTTTCTTTTTTTTTTTTTTTGAGTGGAGTCTCACTCTGTCGCCCAGGCTGGAGTACAATGGCACTCTCACAGCCACCGCAGCCTTGACCTGCTGGGCTCAGATGATCCTTCCACCTCCGCCTTCCAAGTAGCTGGAACTACAGGCACGCGCCACCACGCCCAGCTAATTTTGATTTATTGTAGAGACGAGGTCTCGCCAAGTTGTCCAGGCTGGTCTCGAACCCGTGGGCTCAGTCCTCTCACCTCAGCCTCTCAAAGTGCTGGGATTATAAGCGTGAGCCACCGTGCCTGGCCCAGGCATTTCTTTAATTCCTTCCCTCTGTCCCGATTCCCCAACAGTCAGATGGTGGTGTCTGGAGGCAAGAGATCAGAAGTTGCCATCTGGCCTTTGGCCTCTGCACCAGACCTGCCCTCATCCTGCCTTCTCCAGCAGGGCCTGAGGAAGGCTGAGGCCAGACCAGGCCGAGAGACTCACCCATGTCCACACTATTGGCTACCTCTGGTGAGTAGGGCCTGGCTCTCAGAACCTCACAGCTGCCCCTGAGGGATCCTCTGGCAAGAAGAGGATGACCTAGGTCATACCTCATTACCACCTGGTGACCCAGGAGGGCTTTAGTCTGGTTCAGCTGCCACAATTTTGAAGTTCTGGGGTGGCTTCCAAGAAATTTCCCAATTGTGTGTAATTTTTAGGGGTAGTGGAGGATCTGCAACCATATAAATAAAATTTTAAAATACGTATGTGTACACCTACACATACATGTTTTAGGTTATTGTAGATTCACAAGCAGTTGTAAGAAACAGAGGCCAGGCTTGGTGGCTCACACCTGTAATTCCAACACTTTGGGAAGCAGAGGTGGGAAGATTTTTTGAGCCCAGGGGTTCTAGACCAGCCTGGGCAACATAGCAAGACCTCATCTCTAAAAAAAGTTTTAAAAAATTAGCCAGGGGTGGTGGCAGACACCAGTAGTCCCTGATACTCGAGGAGGCTGAGGTGGAAGGATCACCTTAGCCCAGAAGGTAGAGGCTTCAGTGAGCTGTAATCATGACACTGCACTCCAGTCTGGACGACAAGAAAGAGATTTTGACTCGAAAAAATAAAAATATACCAGGCGCAGTGAGTCACGCCTGTAATCCCAGCACTTTGAGAGACTGAGGCGCAGGACTGCCTGAGCCCGAGGGTTCGAGACCAGCCTGGGCAACTTATCGAGGTCTCATCTCTACAGTAACCAAAAAATTAGCCAGGCGTGGAGGCAGCTTACTCGGGAGGCCGAGGAGGCAGAAGGACAAGTCGAGGCCGTGGGTAGCCGTGAACGTGCCACTGCACTCCAGCCTGGGCGACATTAGAGTGACTCCGACTCAAACTAATAATACAGAGAGATCTTGTGCACTTTGCTTACGCTTCTCCAATGGCACCTTTGCAAAGCTTTCGTAATCACAACCAGGATACGGACGTTAAACTCCAGCGGTCTTACTCACATCTCTCCAGTGTGTGCCATTTGAACGGTCGGACCACGAAAGCTCTGACCCGAGTTTACCGACCTAGCAGGCTGCCTGTGACCCGCGGGGGCTGCTTCGTCCGTGTCCCCCCAGCCCCGAAGGGGAACATTCGGGGCATGCTGCGTGCGGGGCTCCTTACCCATGTCACCGCCTGCGATCCCCACGGCCGTCAAGGCCGAGGCGCACACAGGGCGGGCGGCCGGGCCCACGGCCCCGCGGGAGCAAACCCAGACCTGCGCGGCTGGGCCCGCCCAGCACAGC